AAGTAAAAGAGGGCCTAGCCCGCATACTCGTGCCCCTTTCCAAACCTGATCTCTCTGGAAAGAGCGCCAAGACCGTTGAGGAGCAGCAGCAGGTCTTTTACAACCCCATTCAGCAATTCAACCGGGACTTGACCGTCCTGGCTATCAAAGCCTATGGAGAAGCTCTCTTATCTAAGCCACGCTCTGCTAATGCGAAACATATCGCCAAGAGGAAACGCGATAAATCCGATATCCATGGTCCGAGCCACAAAAGGCAGCAAGAGCGACCTGCCGATACCACCGAAACAAGTACCGTCGACGTAACCAATGCTTCTCAGACTAGCGATGAGAGTACCAAAGCGAAGGATGTACCTATGGTTGATGTCAGTGAGAGCGCTGGGGTTTCGTGTGAAAATAAGGAAGAACCCAGCGCTGTCGCCGACCAACCGCTGCTTGAGACTCCCAAGGAACCCGAGCTGAAACAAGAAAATGTGGTTCGGCACAATGCTCCTAGCTTCACCATTCTCGATGCTCTCTCTGCAACTGGACTCAGGGCTTTGCGCTATGCCCAGGAGCTTCCCTTTATTACCTCCGTTACTGCCAATGACCTCCTTCCTTCTGCGGTCGAGACTATTCGCCGTAATGCCGAGCACAACGGTGTCGAGTCGAAGATTATTGCCACAACGGGTGACGCGCGTGCTCATATGTATTCTATGCTAGCCGAGGAGGTATCTCGTGATCATGACAGGGAGAAGTACTCTAAGAAAAATAAATCTAAGGGAAAGAGATACAATGTTATTGATTTAGATCCCTACGGAACGGCAGCCCCGTTTCTCGACGCCGCAGTCAATGCAGTCCGCGATGACGGCGGTCTTCTATGTGTAACCTGCACTGACTCGAGTGTGTGGGCTTCGAATGGGTATCCCGAGAAGGCATTTTCCCTCTATGGTGGAGTATCCATTAAGGGATTTTTTTCTCACGAGGTTGGGCTGCGGCTAATTCTACACGCTATCGCCACCTCTGCCGCAAGGTATGGTCTCGCAATCGAGCCGCTCCTCAGTCTATCAATCGACTACTATGTCCGGATCTTCGTCAAAATCAGGAAATCTCCGGCTCAAGTTAAATTCCTTGCGGGCAAGACGATGGTAGTATATAACTGTGACCACGGATGCGGCTCATGGGAAACTCAACTTCTAGCTCGCAACAAGAAAACCACCAACAAATCCGGTAAGGGCACGTTCTATAAACATGGTTCCGCATTAGCACCGACGGCGGATTCAAACTGCAAACATTGCAACTCGAAAATGCACCTTGCTGGCCCTATGTATGCCGGACCCCTGCATTCTGCAGAGTTTATCAAGAAGATACTAGATGACTTGCCCCATGCACCAGACGATATTTATGGCACAAAACCACGAATTGAAGGCATGCTGCATACCGCGCTCGAAGAATCGCTCCCGCCCCCAGAGGATACCTTGCCAGAGAATGCGGAAGACAAATTCGCGGCGGTAGAGCCGTACCCATTCTACTTCCATCCCACCAATCTCGCCGGTGCTATGCGTTGCGTCTGTCCAGATGAGGATAGCTTCAGGGGGGCTCTCCGTCATCTAGGTTACGAGGTCACCCGAAGCCACTGTAAAGGGGGAAGCATGAAGACGAATGCACCCTGGTCTGTCGTGTGGCATATTATGAGAGAATGGACGCGACAGAAGCACCCAGTAAAAATCGAGAAAATCGGAGAGAATACCCCGACTTATAGGTTGCTGAGGCTGGGCGGCACCGAGAAGCAAGACGACGAGATCAACAAGCTAGAGGTCGTCTTTGACCAGCATCTTGGTCGCGATAAATCTAAGCAAGGACTGGTCCGATATCAGACTAATCCTAGGGAAAATTGGGGACCCCAGTCCCGAGCTAAAGGGCACTAAACCATCTTGTCGGTGCAGATGGGTGCCGATATTATATAGGTACTGTACGATCTTGACAACGTAGGGGGTCGCTAGGTAGGACAATCACAATTGATACCCTTTGCTTTCGCGCCTTACTGGAGAAATATTCCATAAGAAGCCCTGGTTCTTGACATTAACTGTGCTGTTTGTACGGCCCGAAGGTGAACTGCTTGCAGTTGTATGTGTATTTGACAGATGTGTAGACTACCACCGGGGTCTACACCCCAGCTATATCCTTACCTGTTACTCATTAATAGATGGATGGAGTACCGTACCTGCATCTGCAGTTCCGCCTTACTCCAACTACCTAACCTAGGTGGTGTTGTATACTTAAACTATCTACACGTTAGCTTGGGTCCGGGGATCCAATCGCTCGGTTTAAACCCTTTCGTATATTTTCCCGTCCTTTGACAATGCCGACTGCCGTCTCCTGTAGTGAATAGAACTGAAAAAGTGAAATACCTAAGTACCTAGGTGGCGCCTAGTAGGTAGATAGACTCACCTAGCCACACTTGAGCACGGGTAAACACCGAGTCTACACATCAACTGACAATAGCCTCCCTAGCTTACCTGACAATGGGGTGGGTCTCTAATGTACACGCTATTGTCAGGTTGTCTATGGCGGGCGAATGCCTTAATTTTATTGGCCATCTTCAGTAAGTAAGGTACTAGGTAGGCAGCTATCTAGGTAGCTGCCGGTGCCTAGAGCCTTAGGTACCTACCTAGCGATCATCAATCGGCATATGGAGATTTCCCCAATGGCTGCCTACACAATGGAGATAGCGAAGTAGAGGCTTCAATAGCGACATTGTGGGTTCTACTCTCGTTTGTCCGTCACCTTGGACAAATACATATAAAGCAAAGCATCTATTTAAAGCCAGACGCGCACAAAACTATCATTCACATTTTATCACAACTTACAGCCTCTCCTTCTCCCCTCCTTCTCCTAACAACATGGCTCACCTACTTAACGTCCCTCTTGAGGTGCTCCTCCAGATCACCTCATACCTCACCACTCCCGAGTACGGCTATCTACGAAGGACCTGCAAGCAGCTTGAGGCCTTGTTGTTTGGCGCATTCACCAAGGAGTTCTTCGCCAAGAGACAGTTCGCTCTAATTGAGTTCAGCATTCAGGCCCTCGTCGACATCGCTAAGTCGCGACTCGGTCCCAGCCTTACACATCTCATCATTCATCTAGAACACCCTCATAAGACTGTTCTCCATAGCATCAGTGGCGAAATATCGGTGCGAGAAAATCAGTACAAGGCCGAATGTCTCAATCATTTAGAATTCATCTCCACCGGCCTAGATGTCGACGCGCTGTCAGAAGCTATCAAATATTTGCCCAATCTCGAGACCATTGGCATGCGAGACTTCCACTCTCCAAATCGTAGTCGCGACAGCACCAGTTGGAACAGCTATGGCTGTCCCACATTCATACAAAAGACAGGCCTCAAATTAGTGATCCCAAGTTCTCATCCTGAGCCTCAAAGCCCTACAGGGGAGCGTAGTTCTGAGTACACTAGTCACGTTTTCTGGACGATTTTGAGAGCCATTGGAACTGCTACAGGTACGTAGATGCCCCCATACACTCTATTATGCACGCAAACTATAAATAGTCATGATATGAGCCATTTCACACACTACTCTAAAAGTCGTTTATGGGAAATACTAATGCCTAACTGCCTAGTTTCCGGTTCCAACCCCAAGCTCACTCGAATTGAGGTCCTTTTACACACTTGCCGATTTCCAGACCAGTCTTTTAAGATACCTGATCGCTTCAACGACCAAATCTCATCGGTTCTAAGCAAGCTCACAACCATACACTTGGATAACCTTAGCGAAGATGAACCCCTCTTCGCCGTCCGCGACACGAATGGGAAGGACGAACCAGCTCTTGGGGTAGGGTATTTTCTTTCGAGGTTCCTAGCAAAAGTATCAGCTCTTGAGCACTTACGGCTCAACTTCCAAGCATACCAACCCGATTCCGTCGACAAACTCCTAGGATGGTTAGCAGATGCAGGGCAAGATCCCACGGACGCAACGGCAAAGCATGTGGACTCGTTAGCATCAGCAAACGTAAGGGCCCCGTTAATAAATATCATTGGATATAGAACTAATAGCTCCTCACGTTAAGGCCTCCGACTCTCTGCCGGTTCATTTCCCGCCCGCACCAATATTTCCAAAATTGAAGGCCCTAGAGATTGGGATGGCAACGGTGCAGGAATCCGGCCTACTTGCTGTATACGGAAAATATAAATCAACTCTACGGCATGTCAGTCTCCACAAAACCACGCTCTCGTGTCCGGTGACCACAAAGAGCAACCTCTGGGCCCACTTATGCAATAGGATGGCGAAAGCCGACCTCAACCTCGAGATGTTTGGACTATCGTACGTAAAACAAAGATCACAGGGCACGTATACCCGCAATGGCGAAGTCACCTTCAGAGGATCAAAATGTAAGTATGTAAAGGTCTGGAGAGGGAGCGCATTCGCCCAGTCGATCAAAGATATGACCAACAAGATGGACTCCCGATGGGACCCCGACAATGGAGCTGACGACGGTTTGTCCAACCCCCTTCAATTCGTTGCGTTGTTTTTTCTTGTTACTAACTACCGCGAGGCAGAATCTATGGACGATGGTGACGAAGATGACCCCATCGACGATGATTTCTAAATGATTACTTTTGAGACGGCGCAACCTAAAATGAACGGCAGTGCTATCTATATATACGCGTGCGTTAGGTTTAGAAGGGCGTTGCACATTTGCCCCCACCTCTGAAGCGAGTATTTTTGCTGTCTCTCTTTCCTATATTAAATTGACGACTTATGAAACCCTTACCGCTAACACATGTGTCTTCACACATTTCAAGGTGGAGGCTAGAACGTCTCACAAGGCTTCATCTATAGACATTCTGATAAATGTTTTTTAAAATGAATTAAAATAAAATAAAGGTTATTATTTTATTTGATTTAAATATATCAGCTGTTGACCTTTTTTGCATTAAAAATGTTCCGCCCTAAAAGACAAAAGGAAATAAATTTGGATCGAACTAGCAAAATGATTAACTCTTAGGGCTCAGCCGGGATTCGAACCCGGGGCCTCCTGCATTCCCATGTAAGATGGAAGGGTGCGACCCGAAGCAGGAATCATACCACTAGACCACTGAGCCAGAGATCGTGTTTAGAAGGTGAACCTGATGTCATTCATGAGAATTTTCATGCTTTATTGTCAAATATTGTAGTTAAAACTATGGCACAAGGTGTGATATCTTTCACTTAATCAGTCCAAAGCTTGTCATAAAAGTCTGAACTACCTAGTCATATATCCAGGTAGGGCAGAAAACAGGCTTGGTTGGTGTAGGTACTTAAATAATAGATAGTCCACCGAAAGTGTGAAACTTTACATATACTGTACCATGGTGATTATAGGTTTGATATCTTTTAAAAAGACGACATCTTGATCTTTTCACCGCCCGCATGGCCCTATATCCAGCGGTTAAAACAATCAACTGTATAATCAAAGCGGCGCGGGCGGTTTGGAGAGTCCGACCGGGCAATCCATTTGTAAGGGAAACCTAGCAGTTGTTGTTGTATATAGCTATTCCCCTGTGCTTCTCGCATAATTATAGCCAGATCAGCTTTTCCTAGCCATTTGTGGAGATGATGATTGTAATGTCTAGCCCAACTCAATCACTGTAATGGCTTGCTAGAGCTAAATGACCTCCAGACAATCTTCGCAATTTGGGCTTACCGTAATATGGGAGCCCCCCAAGAGCGAAAGGCGAACCCAAGCCGAAGAACTCCCTCGATGCAAACATGACGAAGCCATCACTAGACCCACTACCCTCGAAGAAGCAGACGAAGCGTTCCATTCAGACTAGCCCTATGCATCCTCAAGCTACAAAAAGTGAAGGGGGCGAGTGGGGACCGAAGATGAGATAGACAAACACGAAATCTCGGGAGGCAAATCTAACATACGCTCACATCGAAGGCCGAATAATTACAACGAAAATTTGATGGCTGGTTGGCATATTAGGGGTAACTAGTTATCACAAAGAAAGCCTCGCCTCTGAGGAGCCCCGAAATAAGCCTTGGGCTACGAGACAGAGGACATGACGGAGGCGGACCACCGGCGTAAGTCACGTAGTAGGTAAATAGCGTCGTATCATTCATTCTACACGGGAATCTCAGGGCCATGCGATGCTTTGGTAACGTCTTGTACGAGGTGAAGGCTTTCTATGAAAAAAAAGTGACTACTCACCCAAGGTGTATAAGAAACACTGGGCTCGTGAGCGCACAATGCTACCAATAGAAATGACAAACCAGCAGATCTCAAGCAATCAATGTTCTATGGAGCCACGATGAGACTAATATTTGGGTAACTTCGATCCATATATGGATGCTCGACCCCGGGAAGCTGTGTGATCAGATCTCAGAAATTGATGGCGGTTCAAGTTAGACAGGGATTACGCCGGAGGCCGTGGTTGGTGTATGGCTGGCTACGTATGGCCATGGAGATGCGAATATGCGCTGCAAACCCTGGACATCCTGGAACAAGAGCCTGTGGCAAATCGCCAGATCCCTCGGAGACGTCACTGGATTCATTCGTGATCGTTCGCCCTAGGCTACTCTTCGTGTCTTTCCAACCCCTTATCGCTCAGGGGCTAGTGAAAACTAGAAAAGCAAAGCCTGTCAAGAACTAGTCTATACCGTACATTATTATGTACTACGTTCTGTATAGGTATATAACGTACGAAGAAGGTTCTAAAGGCAAAGGTTGCTCGTGCTTCAGGACTACGCTGTGAAACGTGCGCACATTAGTAGACTTCTTAGAACCTCATGTTAAGTATGTTTAGAGGTCTCTAGCGGACCTCTCGGTGCCTTTTGGCGTTGCTTTTTCTTTTTCTTTTTTCGAGACCACTGCTTCCCTCTTATAGCTCCTTTGGAAAACCAATATTTGCTTGGGCATATGCAACTGAAGAAGGACATATATAGCTAGGCTAAGATTATGGAATCTGCATCTTAACTAATATTACTCGGCAATGCAGGTGACTATAGGCAGAAAGGCATCGGGCGAGCACCTTTCCCGTTAGCTCATCAGACATCATGCAGCTTATACTAGTAGTTCGTTTTTCTGTTGGTGTGCTTCGGCAACAGCCGTGGTTGCAATCTGGGAGCGAATAATGTGAAAGGGAGAGAGTCGGCACCCCACGGATCCCAATTGCTTTCCCAAACCAGACTTATGACTATGGCGGTGCCTCGCCGCGGTCATTTATCATTGGAACAGACGGTTTGATGTAACCATAGGAGCATACTTTTGACCGAGGTGAACCCTCCTTCGCTTCTCTGGATATGCGCCAATACAGATTAAGCCGCTGTTTCTTGAACGATGTGATCTTGTGATCAATTATTGAAAATAATCAACCGACGTTTCTCTTCTTAGTAGCCTCTTTTGGCAAGAGATAGGACTGTAACAATAGCCTGTCATTCTTGAGCTCCCTCAAATGTTTGCGTACGTGATACGGATCGCGTAGCTGCAGAATCTTCCGGGGCGTCTGCATGTGTGAACCAGGCCTTTCCCAATGGAACTTACCGCAATGCAAAGTGATGATTAAAGGTACAACAAAGGGTACTATGTAGAGCCGGGTCGATCGCCGCAGGAATGAGTCCGAGCCTATATGGACGAGTAAGACATCGACTAGAGCATGAGCATCCGAGGTGTCATCTAACCCCCAGGATTTGGACAAGCCAAAGGAGGATCGACCATCACCGAGAAGACAAAGACCTATAATTATATTCTCAACCCCTGTAGGCAACACCTACCTCCAAGACTGGCCTTGAATCACTTTCTAAATACGTTCTCCGAAACAAGGTGCCGATTTCGCATGATGTGACAGCTAGATAATCAGTGCTTGCTGGTCCGTTATCCGTTACATCGTGATAGGCAAGCGCTCCGGAATTCTTACCAGCCGATTCACAAATATACTCTTGACACTGGCCACCATCATCGGAAGATGATGGGTGGGCTTTGCACGGTAACGACTCTAGCTGATGCAAGAGAAAGGTACTGGTAGCGCTATTAATTAACTAGTCGGCTATAGAACCGACACTATAAGCTGGTATTCGCTTATCTCGCTAAGTTCTCCTCGGGACGACGACACGAGAGATAGAACGACGTCAAAATACCTGCCACAAACGGACAGGGTACCTACACTACATTAATGAGCCAGGATGTTTGTCCACCAGTCGACGACGCAGGCTACATGATCGTCGGCTCAGCCAACTCCAGATGGATTATGGATTGCCCCGCACGCCCGCGATATTCCTCTTCCCCGGAATTTTTCTGCGTGACCGACAAGTTCGACCTTCCAGAAGCCGATCGAATTCCCATCACGGCAGACACTAGTGCGTGCTCAACGATGGCCTACAGGACGCAATCTCCCCCTTGAGAATAGCAGCGGCCGACGAAGTTTCTGATGAGAGGGCCATTCTTGATTGCGCAAACCTACAACAGTAACCGTGACGCAGGCAGCACTACAAGCAACCCGTAACCCCCAATAGGGGCGGGCAGAAGGGCGGGGAGAGGGGTGGGGATCGGCGCTCTTACATGGTATGGTGTCATTTGCAAACAACATTATAGTATATAGGTACATGATGCCAATTCGATACTTACGTGTGTTGCGCCAACCTCACATACGATGACGGTGAGGCATATGTGCGGCTTAGCAACGGCTACATATACAAAGTAGGTCGGTAGGTAGTATTATTGTGACAGAAATAACTACCTACATACTAGTCGTAGACATGATCGTCGGAAAAGGTACTTACCGGTACCGGGGTAATGCGTCAGCAAATGTACATCATTATGTACGACATCATAATTAGGTACCTCATGTCTACAGGTCTTCGGCGGTGCATCATGCAGATCGAGTGCCTGGATCTACGAGGTATACACGTGTTGTTTGCAGGGGCCACGGCATCCGAAGACCCCTCAACTGTGAGAGGCATGTCTACCTCTTACATATAGGTACTTGGTTGTTGACGTGATGTGATGTGATGAGCGGTCCTAAACCTAACAACAAAAGTACCTTAGGTACCTCAGATGCTGCCTACCTAGGAGGTAGGTAGGGACCAAGTTAGAGGGAGGGTTAGATACCTGGAGGGTCCTCTATCCACTACCTAGGCGGGTAGTACAGGTACTAAGTAGGTAGGTAGGAGGAGGTAGGCTAGGTAGCTTTTACGTTCCCCCGCTTGCTCAACAACGGTTCAGATCTGTGATGTCCTTCTTTAGGGCCGTCTGCTGTATTAGAAGCAAAACTACCTAAGTAGGTAGCTATTTCTACAGCCTACCTATATGTAGTACTTACTACCTAGTTAAAGAGGTAGGTAGGTACTTTCACAGCTACACACCTAGGAGGCAGTGTGCATGGACAAGGAGAAAAGATGCAATTTTCACAAGGCTCCAGGTACGCATACTTCATTAACTCTCGCTTACTTCCCCCTCACCTTTGACAACATACCACTCCTTAGTACTAAGTAGGTACCGTCCTAGGTATGTACCTACTAGTAGGTACTACTCGTCGTAGTAGTGGGAGTAGTAGTACCTACCTAGGTAGGTAGTTGGAAGTACCCAAGCGAAACGTGGGTCGGTGGACGATAAAAGACGCTAAACATCCCACCTTGAGTACCTATCAGACCGCCTACATATTTACGTTCCTCGCATTCCCCGGCTCTTCTAGAAACTCCAACATCATTCATTTTCAATCCTCAGATTCAAATACAGATCAACTCACAATTCATTATCCACCATGGCCGTCACTAAGACTACTCTGTCCGAGGGCTCTGGCCCCCAGCCAGTCGCTGGCCAAACCGTCACCATCGAGTACACTGGTTGGCTCAAGGACACCAGCAAGCCCGAGAACAAGGGCGACAAGTGAGTGTTCCTATTATTATTTATCGCTATTATTACTACGTAAAAATGCTGCCCGCTGGAAGCTACCCCGCCATCTCATCCCACCACCACCACCACCACCACCATTCCAAGCAGACTACCCCTACTCCGTGCCTGTGGTTTGCCGCGGGTGACGTCAACCCCATTCCCCCTTTCTAGCCACCATCACAGGTTTTTACTAATCTCCTGCTCACGATGATAGGTTCGATTCGTCCGTCG